ATCCCAGAAATCGAGGTATGTATATAGATATAGATGTTGTGTTACTAGTCTTTTCCAGTATTGGGCAAAAACATAAAAATTTGTGGTGTGATTGTAGGAGGACGACTTGAGACGATACTATGACTTGACATTTGTAACATCCTCATTGGAGAAGAAAGGTTTAGCTGAAGCCATGGCACACGACTCGGTTCGCTTACCTGTGAATGTGAGGGAAAAGGAAATGAAGCGAATAAACCGCACTTCAGCTTATGAGATAGCAGCCTCAGCAGCAACATATGTAAGATCCCATGCAGGTGGACTTATAAACCTTGTGTCTGAACCAAAACATAAGGAGGATGATGTTGCAGATTACTCTCCAAGTCTAAGAGTCTACAATTCAGAGATGGCTGCGTATATGGCAGCTTCCACTATGACAGCAGTTGTTGCAGCACCTGAGAAAGAAAAACAGGAGGCTGCAAAGGATCTTCAGTCCATTCACTCCTCTCCTTGTGAATGGTTTATTTGTGATGACTCCAGTATATACACTCGCTGCTTTGTCATCCAGGTACTTTTTTTTTTTAAAAAAAAAAAAAAAAAAAAGACAGTAGGCTCCATAACCTATAAAAGGAGTGGATTGGGTTTCAAGTATTTGATTCTTATTATTGGTTTAAGTGCGATTCAAATGTTTGGATAGAAGTAAGTTATTATTTGAATCAAAGATTATTAATCTCATTTGGCAATTGCAGGGTTCGGATTCAGTGGCATCGTGGCAAGCAAATCTCTTCTTTGAACCGACTAAGTTTGAGGTAAGCAAATCAGGTGGTTGCTTTTTTTTTTTTATTATTATAAATTAGTCCATAATAACAGTGTAATGCACCTACACGTTCCTTGATGGTAATATGGTATAGCAATAATGAGAAACAAATGTTACAGGGAACAGAGGTGCTGGTTCATAGGGGAATATACGAGGCTGCAAAGGGAATATATGAGCAGTTCATGCCACATATTGTAGAGCATGTGGAGAGATACGGTGAAAGGGCAAAGCTTCAATTCACGGGGCATTCTCTTGGGGGCAGCCTGTCTTTACTGGTTAACCTGATGCTGCTCACCAGGGAAGTTGTCAAGGCCTCGGCTCTACGGCCCGTCGTCACCTTTGGTTCCCCCTTTGTCTTCTGTAACGGTCAAAAGATTCTGGACCAGCTGGGGTTACACCAAAACCACGTTCACTGTGTCATGATGCATAGAGACATCGTCCCCAGGGCTTTTTCATGCAACTACCCGAACCATGTTGCCCAACTACTCAAACGTCTATGCCCCACCTTCCGCTCTCATCCCTGCCTAAATAGAAATGTAAGTCCTCTAACCCAAAATCTTATCCTCATACTTTCTAACTCCTATTCCTATACCAACACGGTCTCTAATGTATGCAGAGTTTGTTATATACGCCACTTGGGAAAATGTTTATACTCCAACCGGATGAAAACTCGTCGCCACATCATCCTTTACTCCCTCCTGGGAGCGCTTTATACTCTATGAAGAATAATTCTAATTCTGGTTCCACCAAGACCAAGGCGGCTATTCGGGCCTTCCTAAACTCCCCACACCCAATAGAAACGTTGCAACATCCTACAGCTTATGGCTCCGATGGCACTATCCTTAGAGACCATGACTCAAGTAACTACCTAAAGGCGGTCAATGGAATCATAAGACAACACACAAAGACCTTCAAGAAGAAACCAACATCACAGCAGAGGAGCGTTTTGTGGCCATTGTTGACTTCACAATCTCCACACTACTGGAGTCAAGAAACAAAGCTCAAAGACAACAACTTCACAGTTTCGGTTTCAGATCAAAAGAGGCTGATTACTACAGAGGTGGCGTGAGTAGCATTAGGTAGAGAAAACTAACTTGATTGGGGTGATGTGATGTGATGTGATGATGTTCATAAAAGGTTTCGTTTCAAATTCGTTCAACTAATTACATTATTGTATATTGTGTTCCATCTTAGCCCCCAATTCCCATTGTATGTATGTATTACCAATAAATGTTAATAATGAAATCCCCAGTATAAAATTATCTGTTTCCAACTTCCTATGAGTATTGCTAGCCATACATACCATCATATTATTCGTCAATTATATATGCATTAGGAGTTGTGCTGTGCTAAGAAGAGAGGAAGATTCATAGTGTCTCGGTAAATGAGATTCAAATGGTAGAGTTTTACCAGTCATTTGTAACTGTTTTTTTGCTGTGTGCGCTAAAGCTTTCTTGCTTTATGGGTGTTCGATAGATCTTGTTCCACAACGTTTTTTATTTTGAGAAAACAATATTTAGTGTAAATAAACATCAAAACAAAATCAGTTTACAGATTTTATTATTATTACGGTTTTGCAAAGAAGGAAAAGCTTTGTTCGAGTATTTGAGCAATTACGGCTGTACCGAAAACGGGTAAAAACCATCCCAACAGCCAGGTAAGTAATAAATTACATTAATATGGCTAGTTTTTTGGTACAAGTCAAAATGCAAATGCTCTTTTCGTAATTTTTAAAAAATTACCATGTTGAATAAAACGGTTAGGCGATAAAACATAATCCTATTTGGAGCATTGGAAGATAAAAACATAATCCTAATAATCATTCACCAAGTTATCATGTTTATTCCACATACCTCTCTAAGAAGCTCTTTTGAGTCCCTCTTATCATATATAGCACTTTACTTTCATTTCTTCTTATTACAACACAGCATTGTACTTTCATTCTATTTCTTGTTAAGGCATTGTAATTGAAAATTCTGCCCATTAATATTATAGCTATTTGTAACAACGAGGTGGGTTACCTTTTTTTTTTTTTTTGTATAGGTCATCCAATTATTCAATTCACGACATTTCTTTAAAATCTCAAATGTGGACAAAATTAAAATAAGATGGGTATGAGTTGGCTTTCCTGAGTAGAGCAAATTCTTTATTTTGTGAATTTATCCCACAAACCAAAAAGTACAACATGGGAATAAGTAAAAACTATCTTTGCAGTGGGTTGTGAAGAACAGAACAGAACAGGGATTATAATCCAAATCAGCAGTTTGCTATATAATAACTAACGGGTATCGTATATTTAAAGTATGATAAGAAGAAATGTTATAAAAGGACACTAGGACAAGGTTGTAGAAAAAGAATAAATGAAAGTACATTACCCTACCAGTTAAATATTGTTTCCAACTTGCATACAAAAAACCAGAATTCTGTCATGTTATGTGTGTGTTTTATTGTTGGTCCTAAATCTACAGTTGGGAAACCGCCATAGACATTTCAAAGGTGACTGTTCAAACCCAGAATAGATGCATATAAGAGATTCAACCGGCCAGCATGCCCCTAGATATATATATATATATATATATATATATATATATATATATATATATATATATTTTTTCAGAATTCAAATGAATGGAAAGGGACGAGTGTGGGAAAAAAGAAGATAAAGAGAATGAGACTGTTTTGATCCACATGAATCGTATTATGCACCTAGCTAGATTGTTTACGTATACATATAATTAAACAACTTTAAAAAGGTTTTAAAATGAGTGAACTATGTTTACTGCAACCTAGCTATTGTACTTGCTAAACAAATTTTCAAGACTATTACATGTGTAGTGTTTGTTAATTTAAAACAGAAAGCAAGAGCTGCAACTGAAACTCCATCATATAAGTATTAAGTAAAGATTGATTAACTTCAAAAAGTTGCATAACACTAGTATCGTACATAAGACGTATCAAGAAAGCTAAAAGAAAAGGTTGAAAGTTACATGTTCATTATTTCCCTCCAGCAGCCATCCTCTTTCGTATTTCATGCGCAGTGTTGAATATCCCAAGTGTAGGCTGGTTGCACACATAGCACTTTTTCTTCTTTGCATGATGCTGTACAATCACAAATTCCAAATAAGTCCCCTCCCCTCCTTGTAATTGTATGTATGTGTGTGTGTGTGTGTGTGTGTGTATATATATATATATATATATATATATATAGAGAGAGAGAGAGGGAAAATCAATCATACCTTTAAAGCACAATGCTCACAGAAATAATGCTTGCACTTGGTCATTACAGGATCAACAAACGGCTGCCTGCAGATAAAACAAGCAAAGGGAAGTCCATCCTCATCTTCATCATCATCACCATCATTATGCTCATCATCATCATCGTCATCATCGCCCTTCAATGCCAATTTCCTCTTTCTTGCCTTCTCTGCTTCATCCCAGTCTCTCTCCATCTGCCATCCAGACTTATAATCCCCACGGTCATGCATAAACTTACAGGAATCACCATACCCACAATACCCTGTCTCCTTATAATCCTTACAAATGTCCGGCTGGTAATCAAACCTAGCAGAAACCCTGATATGAGCAGAAGCTCTCAATGGTCCATGTGATCCACCTGCTTTCTCACTAGCAACAGTTTGCTCCCGCCTAAAACCTGCCTTGTAATCCGTGTATCCATGAATACCTTTATACAGCTTCTCATCACCATTTCCATTTCCATTCCCCTTCCCTTTCAAAGCCTGGTCTGCTTGCTTCAAAACTCTTTCCCGAATCGCCCTTGCATCTCTAGAAAAGTCCGTCTCTGTTTCTAATGTTGCAGTGGCTCTACTGTCATTTTGAACTTGAATTTCTTTTGAGGAATCAAACTGGAAAATTGTTGCTTTTGTGTTGTCAGCCTCTGCTTGTTGTTGTTGTTCTGATGTTGTGGATCGCTTAGATGATCCAGTAGCAAAATATAACTTATTGTCTGCTGCCACAGCCTTTTTCTTGTTGATCACAACAGAAGGTTCCTCTTCTTCATCCATTTCATCATCCTGAGCTCTTTTTCGGATGTTTTTCTTCTTTGATGGTTTTCTAAAAAAGTTGCACACTGTATAAAAAAAAGATCAGATTCCATAGACAGTCAATGGGATTTGAAAACAATCAAGATAAACAACATACCTTGTTCGGTGTTTGGTTGTTCTTCGGGTTTTTCAGCCATATGGATCGATTACAACTTAGAGTTTTGGATATTTGTAGTCGTGAATGATGCCACAAAATTGCTGTTATGATGGTATGACAGCTGTAAATACATGATGATGATGATGATGATGAATTAATTAGTGTTTGGTAAGAATACAGAATAACCAACATCAATTCAAAATAAACAAATTTTCTTTCGCAATTTGTTAAACATGTAGACATAAATTGTTAAAAAAATAACCAATAACAGTACACATACTTCAACCCTAAAGCAGCCTTTGCTAACTTCAAATAAAAGTAAAAAAGAAAACAGAAATACTCCTAATGCCATATTGCCATTTGAGCCAAAATGGCATCAAACCGTGGCCATTGGTGGTTGTAAATGTTCTTGGGGTCAAGGAAGAAATCGAAGAGGGACGGTGAAATCACAGCACTCCGTTGATTAAGGATATAGAGACCAGTCTGATGAAATTCTAGGACATGTATAGTTTAGCCCAATACATTTCTCCTAAGCATTTCATCGAACAGGTAGGAGAACACACTGAACAGACACACATTAGGTAGAAAAAGGGGGAAACAACATCGATTCCAGCAAAGTCAGAGAACAAAAAAAATCGATTCTATTAACATAAGAAAACGATTTCAGCGAAAAGGGACGAATTTTAGGGTAGAACAAAAAACCTTACCTTGATGGCTGCTGACGACGAGTTTGACGGAGCTGGATGGAAGCGCTGGCGATGTTGGCGGAGAAGGTGACCGGTTGGTGGCGGAGTGTTGGCGGAGGGTGGGGTAAAACAGATATGAAGAGGGAAGGTTGCGGAACACTTCTGAGGGTCTAAATTTCGAATCACAATTATTGAGGAACGCCAAAGAACAGAAAGAAGTGGGCGGTGGTATCGGCGTCGTTACCGGCGTCGGCGTCGCTGGCGGAGGGAGGCGGGGGATGGTTCAGATCGGAGAAGGAGTGGCGTCGATGGAGTAGAAAGAAGTGTAGAGCGAAGGTTGCTGAAACGCTATCAGGGGGCAAAAGCGAATACGCGTCCTCTTTTTTTAATTCAGACTTGGAGTAGAAATAAGAGAGGCTTTTGTTAAACTATTGGGTAAATTCCGCATATATCAGAAAGCGTGTTTAGTCCCTATTTTTAGAAATTAATTCGGATCGTTCCTCGTATGTTTAAAAGTTGCGCATTTGATCCCTACCGTTAATGGTGTTACGTTTCTACAGTTAAACCATAGGAAAATGACATAACTACCCTTATTTTTATAATTATAATTATTTAAAAAATACACACTAATTTAAAACTAACACACCACCCTTATAGCGAAGGCAACAAATCTTGTTCCTGTTTCTCTGCACGATCACGTACCCTAACTCGTTCATTTTAGAATGACATAATAAAATCCAGAAATCACGTAATAAAATCCATAGGAAAAACACCAAATTAACTGGTAATTGGAATCAAACCTAGAAATCACATAATCAAACCCACAACTCAGGAGTGAAACCCATTCAGACCGATAAAATCAAACTCAGGAATTATATACCAATTCAAGGATTCAATTACAAAGCATTCAAGGATTCAATTACAAAGCTGAAGTCCATGATTCAAAAAAAAAATCAAAAACTAGATTCAAAATGCAAATGAAAAAAACAGAAGACTGTCAAAATCAAAATTCTAGCCAAGGTTATGTACCAATGATTTCAATTTCCATTTCATGTTCTTGTTCTTGAAGAAAGTCAGATTATATGTTCTTGTTTTTGAAGAATTACCCTTTCCACCATCCACTTACTGCCAACCACCACCCATCTCCCAGCTTCTCCACGACCCGAACCAAACCAAAATCCGATTCAAGACTACAACAGTCCACAACCTAGAAAAATCATAAAAAATCCCCAAAATGATGACTTAATAATCAAAAGGAAATACTTCAAACTTCTTGAAGGAATAAAATTTGATGAAATCGAAGCTTAAACCTGTGAAATCGGAGCAGAAGTAAACTCGATGACTTTAAAAAAACCTAGGAATTGTCTTCAAAAACCTAGAAATCGTCTTCAAAAGACCAATATTTTGTCTTAAAAAGCCCTATAAATGAAATCGAAGCTTAGACCCATAAATCTGTGCTGAAAGTAAATTCAATGACTAAAAAACCCAAAAATTGTTTTTCAAAAGCCCAGAAGTCGTCTTCAATAAGACCCAAATTTTGTCTTCAAAAACCCTGAAATCGTAGTGTCTTCGTCTTCAAAATAAACCGAGACATCAACCCATATTCATCTTCAGTTTGGTGTACCTCAAACGATGAAACAAAAACATCAAAGAACACATAACCACACACATCTCCCTGTTTCTCGTCTTTGATGATGATGAGGTCCAACAGAGGGCTATCGGAGGGTTGCCAGAGTGAGAAGAGGGGAAGGAGAATGATGGCTTCAGGTTTGACGGGAGAGAGAGAGAGAGAGAGAGAGAGAGAGAGAAAAAGAGAGAGAGAGAGAGAGTAGAGATAAGGTTTATTTATTTATTTATTTATTTATTTATTTATTTTTGTCATTTTAGGTAAAAGACTGAAATACCCCTCTAATGTGGGTCACTTAACGGAAAAACAAACGGTTAACGATGTCAGGGACGAAACATGAAACTTTTAAACATATTAGGGACGATCCGAGTTAATTTTTGAAAATAGGGACTAAACACACTTTCTGGCATATGCACGAGGGACGATTGATGTAATTTACCCTAAACTATTAATATTGGGACCATGGATATCCGTCTTTCCAATTTCAGTCGTGCGATTCTCTTCCGCATAAACTCACTATTTACCATCTAGCTCCGGAGTGCAAAGAAAAGAAAATAAGAGAATGGAAAATAAAAGAAAGTAAGAAAAGAAAAGAAAGAAAAATAAATTAGTCTTTCGTGGTCTCGAGTTGGATTGAAATAGAACGAAAGTTAAATTTTTATTCTTTCTTTTCAAATCCTCTCAAATCGAAACGAAAGTTAGGAGGGAAAGTGATTCTTCTATTTTCTTCCACTTCATTCCTTTAATGAAACTCGGGAGCATCAATCTCTCTTACTTTCCTCTCATTTCCGTCTATTTCCTTTCTTTTCTCTCCTTAAGTTGAACTCGGGAGCGGGGTTACATGTTTTCGGCTGTTCCTTCTTCTCCCCACGTTCTGTACAATTGTTTGTTCTCCTTCCATCATTCTCTTCAACTCCTCCCCACATTTGATCCCTTGTCTCACAAACCGGCATCCCCCACCACCATCTCCCCGTTCCCCTTTTGTATAAATAGAAAAGGAAATTGATATATATATCGAGCTGCATTTATGGGTTTGTATTCTGAACCAACGCGACATATTGATTCCCCTGCCTCGACGACTCACCACACAGTCTTGTTATTGCCATGATTGCTCAATAAAATCAAGGTAAGGCCATAATCTACACTAAATGTATGATATCTTTGGTTTTTTTAACATTTCCAATCTTAGGGCAAATATTTGTGGTTTGTTTGTCTGGAACATCACAAGAGAAGACAAGAGCACAAGGAAGAAATAGATAGTAGGTTAATATTTATGCAATTCTCTTTGTTGTTAATTTTGTATGTAAGATTTTTATTGTAAACCCGTGATTTATCCTGGGAAGTAAAGTGTTTTAATTAGAGTAGAATTCCGCAATGTATGTAAAACTCTGATAATTCTCTTAGATTCGATGATAGAAAGATTCGGGCCATTACAGCATGGCTCGGGGGGCGTAAGCGTACCAAATGGAAAAGTTAACATCCACCCGGTTAATGAATCCACATTCAAATTCAAACAGACATGATTCGTTTTCGTTTTCCATGTACCAATCACAACAAAATGGTCCGAGCACAAGTCAAAACATGAGTTCAACATGTATCATTTACCTTCAAGAGGGGGATTATCTAGAAAATGGGTCAAATGGTCTGTCGGTTGTGGTGATGGTGTATCATTTGATCAATCACATAATAATATTGGTTTCGGTTCACAATCACAAAATAATACTGAGCAATTGGAGTTAGAGTTTGGGTCTGTTTTTTTTTTTTTTTTTTTTTGATGGGGGGGAGGTGTGGGGGTCTACCACGGGTTAAAGGAAGTCGAGTTATAAGGGATGTTGGAGGAACATAGGTCTTCACCAGACTAGCCATTGGCCTCATCATCGCATCATCAAAGGTAACTTAATTCTTGTGCTTCAACTTATTGTCACTTTGTCGTATTGGAACTTGAAGTTTCTCTCCATTATTGATGGATGACAGAAGGGTATGATTGTCATTTTGTCACCTCGGTTGTTTTGGTTTGGTTGTTCATGCAAGCCAGTGTAGAATAGACGAAGGATGATAATGAGAGAAAGTAGGTAGGTCATAGTGTGAACGAAGGATGAGGCATATGCTCTACTCTACTATATTGGTTGGTCTGCAACTATAAGCATATGGGGAGAATGAATTCTTGATTTGATGGTGGCATGCTCTGTGTCGTGGTTTTTGTAGGGAAATTTAGGGTTTGTGGTGGAGATATGGATACCAACTTGGATCGTGATATCACTTTCCGAACTGATATTTCTATCATATGTTTGGGTTACAAGAAATTCAGCCTAGGATAATCCAAGTGGACACTTACGTTTCTAGGCACAGAAAACGTAAGCCAATATGCTAGAGGATTCTGTGAAAGTATGATGAAAACAAGAGCTTAAGATCGTAACCCTCTTCTGGAGAGGAAGAGTTGTTTATATATTAAACACGATTAGGGTTTCATTAGGGTTAGGTCGTCATTAGTAGCTTTGGAAGCAAGTAATGTCAATCCGGATTTAATGAGGATCCTAGACCCCGCCAAAGGGGCGCTGCCCCTTTGGAAACCCCGGACCCCCAACTAGTCGTCAAATCGGCTTCTGACTCGATCTTATACATGCGTGCACTCCGCACAACCCCGTACATATATTAGAGTACAAATCATGAAGCCCCTTAGCTCACATGTTGGTTCCAGTTACTTAAAATGACATTGTGACACTAAAATCACCAACCGTTTTATCATGTCTATGATATGATGATGGCACGTACAACTATGATATGATATGATGTTCAACAAGTGGAGGGGAGGTGAGGATATGAAGTCACTTTTTTTGATTTTTTTTTTGTCGGCTGCTGCCCTATGAAGTTTTAACTTCACTCAACTCTCTCAAAGTACAATATTGGTTTTCTGTCTATCTATCTGGGATATGTACAACTTTGTAGATTTATCTCCACTCTCTAGTTTCTACTTAACTGTTATACAGTATTTGTTACTATGTTTTCCAGTTTCTAGTCATATGATATGATCGTTAGTTAGTACACACAATAACATTTTGTACCGAATTCAATGGACATGGACCTTTTTTCTCACGTTGCATTTTACCGTTAGTAAAAAGTGATATGAGTTTCACTCCTTTACGTTGGAAGCAAGCGTATATGTTTTCAATACTTGATGCTTTTAATTCACAAAGTCCAATGTTGGTTTGACAGTCCTCGATCACCATTTAAGCATCACGTATCTTTAAATCGGAAAAAACAAATGATTGTATTTTACCTACAATATTAGATGTTACAAAAACTGACATGATACGAAATAAATAAGTTTGGTTGATACCCAGTTAATTAAACAAGATTAGTTCAACTTAACTTTTTTATTTACATGCAAGATTTTCATTTCTCTTTCAATACTTTGCAGTCAGACACGGCCACTCCATCATCTTTATGACCTCGCACCTCTTCTATGCCTAGCCAACTTTTACTTTTTCCACTTTGTCCAAAAAACTTACTACGAACTTTGCCTCCCAAACACTTGCTCTTTCTGTTTTTCACCTCTTAAACTTTCAACGTGTTAAAATTTTTAACCAACCACGACACATCACATTTACAAGCCTAAACCCTAACCTGCTAATTCGACATGAAAACAGATTAACATGACATAATCATTAAGCGTTTGAGGTTAAGATCCAGCTCTCACTTGACCTGTTTAATATTTTATTTTAACCCGACACAACTCGTTTGGCGTGACTGTACAATACACACACACTTGGTGACCTACCTATTGATAAAACTTGTGGTAATTCACCAAAATACAAGATGACAACATAAAAAGAAAGAACAGAAACTAATTTACAATTACAATCACCGAAATGAACGTTTTGTTGATTCAGATACAATTGAATATTTCTTGCGAAAACAGAAGCCTATAAAAAAAAGACAATCTTTATAGTTTATAGATAGGTGTTTTGTTTATAATTAGTAACTAACTAGAGTACTACTTGGTGCGTAAACCAGGAACATTCTTGAGTCCCATTTTACCAAGAACAAGTCTGGAAATGGATGGTGGAACATCAAGTCCCATGCTTCTGCTGAACTCATTTGCCAGCTCCACAAGCCTTTGCTTATCCTTACCAACCGTCTTATTGGAGTTGTAATACCCGAGCCATGCCTGGTATGCGGATTCTTTATTTTTCATCTCCACATACGACAATGCTCTCTCCACCTACCACCATAATTATTAATTAATTAATTAATTAATACACACCAAATTTAAACTCTCTCTCTCTCTCTCTCTCTCTCTCTCACACACACACACAACATGAGAGAGAGAGAGAGAGAGAGAATATCATATAAGACCGATGGACCTACCTTTTTCTTTGTGTCTGGATCCAGCAGAGGCACCTGGGCTTTTGAAATTGGCAGATCCCTAAGGGTGGACAAGAAGAATTCTTCCCATGGTGCTACCAACAGTATCCCTTCCCCTTCCTTACCTTTCCGCCCTGTTCTTCCAAGCCGGTGTATGTACTGAGCTTTATCAGCTGGAAGCCCAATCTGCATGCAACATAATTTTAATAATGTCAGGGTGTTTGTTATTTATAAGGAACATTAACGACTGCTACATACCTGAATGACAAGTGTCACATCTGGATAATCAACTCCACGTGCAGACACATCCGAAGTTACCAGAATAAGACCCTTTGATCTCCGGAATTCATCAGAAACCTGAGTCCTGTAACTTTGGGACTTTCTAGAATGTATTTCTCGCACATTTAACTTCAGCTGACTAAGCAGCTCTGCCACCAATTTCGTCACCATGGCAGTCGTGCAAAACACAAGAACCTGCAACCAATTATCAAATCATCATCATGTATCAACATTCAAATAAAATAATAAAATGCTATACCTTATAATCACCATCATCTGCTATATGATCTTTCAGAAGGGCGTACAGCACGGAATACTGCTTCTCCAATGGAGCAACTAGATATTTTTGTTGGACCTTCAAAAATATATAAAAAAAAAACACAGTTTAACACGTTCATACCAACTAAATTAATGCCATGGTATTGGTACGGTACCTACCTGTGTATGCGTCTCTTCGCTGCCTTCTTCAACTGCATTGATATATTCATGATCTCTTTTCAAAGCAATATGACAGATTTGACGAACCTTGACATCAATCAAAAAAAAAAATACTTATTACTATTAAGTTTGCTTGTTTTGCAAGAAATGTGAAAAAAAAAAGAAAGAAAGAAAGAAACCTCAGGTGGGACAGTGGCTGAAAAAAGAAGTGTCTGTCTCTGTTTGGGCACAGCTGCTATGATGGTCTCGATGTCTTTACGGAATCCCATGTCCAATAAATGATCGGCTTCATCAAGAACCAGAACCTTCACTCCCATGATCCGCGTGGCAAATCCAGATGTATTCATGATATGATCTTTCAGCCTTCCAGGTGTCGCCACAAGGATCTGACACGGGTTTGCCTGGATGCGTCTTTGCTCTGTAGCAAGTCTCGTGCCTCCGATCACAACTTGAACGCCCACAGAAGGATGGTATTTCAACAGCTTATTAGCCTCCATTGCAGCCTGATTTGCAAGCTCTCTGGTTGGACATATCACAAGGACTACAATTGGAGGCCACTTCTCGTCACGCCCAACAGGTGCCAACTTCACAACCACTTCAATTGATGGGAGCTGAATGTTTTTTTTTTCAAATAATTAATAACTTTTTTAAGAAAATGTATTTTGGGAAACAGTGTATTACCAAAAACGCAACAGTTTTTCCGGTGCCTGTCCTAGCCTTGGCCAGCACATCCTTCCCTGCAAAAAAAGAAATCAAATTACTTGAATGAATTCCACACCAGTACTAGTGTTATGCACAAACCTTTGAGAATGACTGGAAGTGTCGCCTCCTGTACGATGGTCATCTTCTCATACCCAGCATCCTTGATTGCTTTCAGAGACAATGGTGAAACAGAACATTCATCAAACCTGGTCTCACTTAGATAAGATTCACTTGCTGTTGCATCATCACTTACAACTCTTGGGCTTGCGGAATCTTGAATGTTCAGTCCAGACATGGAATGCCCATCATCCTCAAAATCCTC